ACATTTTCCGTACTCCTCATCTTTGGGAAATGAAAAAAAACTTATTGATTTGTATTTCATTCGCTGGTCAACCGGAACTTTTGCAATCTTTCACACAACACTTCGGCATAGTATTATATTTCACTCATGTTCTTTAAAAACTGCGAATCGGTGTATTATTCTGAAAAAGCAGTAAATATTCACTGATGGCAGCACCAGTTATAAATGTAGCTGAAATCACCGATTCACTTTGAGAGAGAGAGAGAGAGAGAGAGAGAGTACAATTACATCATTCACAATTATTTCACAATTTATATCACTTTTCATCAGAATTTGCATCATGTGCTATCATATGACAAGTACGCGCGTAACAAAAATACTGAAATTAAGGTCAGCGCGCTCCCGTGCGCTGACCTCATTTCAATTACAAGTACATCATGTTTACTTATGGCCGAGTTTGTATAATTCCGAACTTTTAGGTGGCGAGGCCCCGAAAGTCAACAATTGTCCGAGAGACATCGAGGTCGTCGGGAGGAACGGAACGGCGATCATGTGGACGGAGCCGACCTTCACGGATAACGTGAAAGTGACGCGGATCAGCAATAATGAGGTAATTAAGCGTCGGATTTCCCCCGTGGAATTTGTATTAATTTTGCGAAATCCGTCGCGAAAACCCAAATAATGAGTTCGTTTTGGGTGAGGCTGCAGTATTCCAGCGGTAGTCCTAATTACGGATGGATAATTGTAATTGACATTCCGATACGCACGTTCTATAAACCGATGTCTACATAATTATTCAATAATATCAACGTTATCCGATCCGATTTGATTTCCATCTCGGATATTCGAGACGGTAGTAGACGTGTCGTAAACAAAAATTCGTTGATACCTCGATAAACGATGTTTACGCATTATAAAAAAACATTTGTTTTAATATGTACATTCGATATACTCGGTATATATACTCCGATATATCGGTGCAGCGAATGCACACGTTGCGAGGACTTAATAATCGCTCGAATTGGGCGGAACGCGATTTTCAGCGACTCGTTAATATTTCACAAGCGTGAAAATGCCCATTACGCGATATTATCCAACGGAACATATCGAGATTGCCGTTTTGTAAAACGAGGGAAAATCCGCTGGTAGAGATACGGATGCGATAAATTAAGTTCTACAAATGAGTGATCACGGATGCTTTTCTCACGATAATGCTCGCGAGAGCGCGCGTTACTGCCGTTTACAGAATTTCCTTTACAGAATTGCGATAATCGGCGGCACACCAAATGACTTGATTAATTAACGGTGATATCCAAAATTAACGCGCGATATCGGAATGTGTGCACTGTATCGCCGGCTTTAATTAGCTTGTTTGCCGACGCGCGTCAATTATTGCCCGAATTGTAACCGTAGCTCCGCGTCATTCGTCCCAAAACCGACGGGCTTTTTGATGAATAATGCAAATTTTTGCTGCGCCGAGGTACGAGTGTGCAAAATTCTCGGTACGGGAAGCCGCGAGCGTAAAATTAGTTAAGCGTAGTTTTCCACTATAAAAGAGAAAGAGAAGGACAGGACGAGGATTTTGGGGAATAAATCCGGCAGGAAGTGAAATTCCCACGCTTTGGCCCGTGCCAAAAATTCTCGTGCGAAACTCACCACCACCACCACCCCCCCCCCTCCCCCGGAAGGGTTGATATTCAGCTTCCCGGAAGTCGGCGGCGAAATTTCGCACCGCAGATCTGCCCTCCTCTCCACCCCCTTATCGCCGCACTCCATCCGCGATTTGTCGTTGGCGACGATATTTTTCCGTCTTACCCTGCCGCAGAGTCCGGGTCGTCGCTTCGACATCGGCGGTCACAAGATCGAGTACGAGGCGAGCGACGACGCCGGTTGGTCGAGCAAGTGCGTCTTCGTCGTGGTCCTTCGTCAGGGATAAACGGCCGGAGAGGTGCGACGGGGAAGAATCAGGGACGCGAGAGCGAGAGGAAGGAGGAAGAGAGAAGAGAGAGATGGAGGGAGAGAGAAACGAAGAGGAGAAAAGAGGAAAGAAACAGCGCGGAAGAATAACGATAAGGTAATATAAATGGAAATGCTACGGGAATCGGGTATACACAGACCTTAGTTCCTTATGTAGGCCCCGTAATGGATTCCGTTTTGTCCGGCAGGTTACACGCGGGAAAAGTGAGAAAGAGAAACGGATCTCGTTCCTCTCGTACTGCTGCAACCCCCCTTTCTCAGCCCTCTTCCCCCTCGCGTACTCGCGTAATGAAGTTTTAAGACAGGGATGGAAGTACGTAACGATTAGCCGCTAGATTTATGCGATCGAACTCCCGTCGACTGCCACTTTTGATAGATAATAATAATGTAATGATAGTTCGTATAGTGTTGTACGAAGCGTTTCATTGTAAGAAGCGAAGATCATTTTTGCGCAGATGGGGGTAGGAGGTGGGATTTTATTCAGATAGAAATGCGAAAGTCTCGATGGCTCGTACTAAAGTTTTCATAACAGAGTCTGGCTGCAAATGATTTTGTCAAAATCCTACTAGAGGAAAGTTATTATATATTTCTTCCCTGCATATATATTACCTCACTTTAATTACACTGTCTCCAACTGACGATCGATGTAATTTGTAATATTCCCAAGCGGAACAACGAGTCATTGTGATATCAAAATGATGTCAATATGACTCCAAAATGATTATCAAAAGTCATTTTTTTCAATAATTTCATTTTAATGTCATTTTGTTCATTATCGTGATTTCTTGTTTTGCTTGGGTTAGGTTTCTTCTTTATTAATGAACTCTATGAATTGGTATACAAACTTATACCTGTTTCACTTTAACTTATTGCACTAGTATACACCAGTTCAGAGAGTTCTCTGATAAAGAACAGGTCTAATTTCCAGTTCCAATTTACAATCGTTGAATTGAAAAATATATCGTCGCTATCATCTATAACTTTAATTAAGCTTATAGAGTGGGACAGTATAAATTAGAGTGAGATAGTAAACACACAGGGAGACAGTATATATATATATATATATCTTTCTCTCTCAATAGGATTTTGCCAAAATCGCTCATGGCTGGGCTTTGTTATAGGAAGCTCTAGCTCGTATAAAATTCCCGTTATATCGCTCGTGTAAAATTCCTGTAAAATTTTCGCGCGAAGCTAAGCCTCCAATTTTGTTGATCAACGGCTATCGCGGCGGTGCATTTCCTACCTTCTCCCCCTAATCACCATGTTGATTGCAATTTTTTTATTGCGATCGCGGGGAAGACGGTGCCAGCTACCAGCTACATAATACGTTAACGACATGCATTACGCTGGGCGAAACTCGCGTTATCGATTCCTGCCGTACGTTGAAATTAACGGGCGCCGATTACGATACGACGTCGTGCGAGCTCCCGATAAACTTCCGTGTGACATAACGTTCCTCGCGAATATATTCCGTAGCAATTAACGCGGCTGTCTTGCGTACGAGGCAAACCTACCACCCCGATTTCTTGCCGGCGACAAGATTATTCCGCCGAATATATGCATTCCACTGACAAGACCAGATAATGGAAGATCAACGCGCATCGCCGACTAAATCATACGCTGATGTCCCGTGCGAACTGACGCGGAATGTGGCCATGTTAAATCGCAGAAATCATCGTGATACCAGGGCTGATATTTAGGAATCGTACTGATAGAGAGAAAAGTATATAAATAGAAAAAGTGAAAGAGAAAAATCAGCGTTTGATTTTGAGATTGAAAATGTCTTATGCAGTATGGATATATCGCGGCAAAACAAAGTATGGTAACGTAATACTGTTTACGCGGAAAGAATAGTTGCTAGAGTACCTAAAAATGTAACTAGACGCAAAATCTGAAAACAATTTTGCTGGATTATCAAAAATAATTACGTAACGATGTTCAAGCTGGTTGTTAGAATGCCAAAAACTTGCAGCGTTGCTCGTCACGCTTGAGTGTCGTATATTATTTTGGTAACCCAACAAAATTAGTTTCATCTGTATCCAGCTAAATTTTTAGGTACTCCAGTAAAATCATGTACAGTTCGTTATACAACTTGCGAAACCATGTATATTTCGTACACAACTTTAATATTATGCTAACTTGTTAATGTTTCGCGATGCGTTTCGTTGAGCGAAATATCTATAATTTTTAACTGACATTGCCCTTTTTCTTTTTTACAGTACGCGCGATTAATCACCTACACTTTTCCAATTATTTTTGTTACCATTACGAGAACGTTCGCAAATTTCGATTGTTCGGCAAAAATTAGTTGATTATCAGAAAATTATAATTTTTCCTCCTTCCTTCCTCCTTTTTGCAATCTCGCTATATATATTATATTAAATGGTGAATAATAAATTCTCGAGGTACGAGAAATGAAAAGTGTAATTCCACGAAGTACAGTTGCGAGAGGTCTGTTTACAGAGTTGGCGCGTCGAATAATTAACTGCAGTCTAATTACAAACGTTCTGTCACAGGCAAAACGCGTGTTTGCAAGCAACAGAAATTCTGCCTTCTTAAAGCTTCCCAATTACGAAGCCGTCGTCCTCTTCTTGTCGTAAATGATTATCAGTTACCATTTACTCTCGAGAGACCGATACGAGAGACCCGTGTGCTTGTGCGAGCTTTCATTAATGCGCACTCGCGCGAAACCAACAATTGTTCACGTTTGCGTCATTGATCAATTAATAGTGCTCGCTTATGCAAGCTGGTAGCGATCGGCGTATTTAATAATCACGGCGCCCGTTCACGAATGCGGTTCACTAAACGACGAAATATCGTGATGGTATAACGCAAAGAAGGGTGAGGACTACCCTACGTAAAGTCAGCTCAGATCGCACATACGGGTGTAACTTTGCGTCGTACTATACATATTGTAAGATCGCACCGCATTTAAGAGAAAATACGTAGCGTTTTGAAGATTGTTCTCCTTTTAAATTGATTTCTCGTAGAATGCAAATAAATTCGAGAAATTTCGTATATAAATAGTCCTTTTTTTTTTTTTAATGTAGAGTTACATATAAAACTTAAACATTCCGGTCCACAAAATTATCCCCGCCAGAGTGCGATCCAACCTCATGTCGGTAGCGTATAAGAAGATAGATAGATATTTCGTTTACTATTTATTAATATTCCTCTACCGTCACTCGCATATCATTGTTACGATAACGATCGATTGTCATCGTACGTATATTAATATAGATGTATAAAATTTATGTATTAAATATACGTGTATACATATATATATATATGTACGTATGTATATTACAAAAAAAAAAAATCGCCATGCAATCTGCGCTAACCGTCGCGATTCGGCGCGGCCGCAGGTACGGCTGTTTGTTATTATTATTGCATAACAAATTTATCGTTATATACGATTTTATTGATGTCGCTTATTAAAACAACGTCGCGCGCACGCCGTGTCGCGTCGGTTCGTGCGGACTCACTTATTTTATATTATCTACTTTTAAATGGTATTATTGACGATTGGCAGACTTATTTCGTTGCTGATCTACTTCGCTATGCGGAAATAATCTACTGCTGCGATGTCACTGACCGAGGCACGAGTTCTGAAGTGTCTTGACAAAGGACGCACTGATTATAAGGAAAATTGGATCCCAATGAAATGACCCAGACAATATACATGTTCGAAATGAGACAAAAGACATCTTAAAGACATCTTAAAGACGTCTAAAAGACATCTTGAAGACATCTTAGTCCAGGTCCACAGTCTTGTTTTAAGAGACTGTAAGTTGTAAAGCCGCCAAAAATGATCAATCACAATTGAATATGAGAAAAATAATCGACTGTGATTGATCATTTTTTGCGGCTTTACAGCTTACGATTTTTTAAAGGTTGTGGACTTGGACTTAAGTGCGTTCCGATTTTGAACTTTTTGTTGCTTGAGGAGTTACGTTTTACATATAATGGATGAAAAGATGTTGCAAACACAAATAATGCACAGTGTTTTTGAACTATGGTGTTCAAAGGTGCAACCGAAATACACATGTCCAAAATGGAGACATAAGATATCCAAAAGACACATCTCAGACATCTTTGAAATATCTCACGGTATGATGTTTTAAAGATGTATTATGTTACAATTTTGGATATAGCGCCGTCTGGAAAGTTTTACATTTTCGATGCACAGTGGATCAAAAACTATTCATTATCGAGCCCCGACATATTTCTTGTTCGCCATATTATACGCTATAATATATGTGAAAATTAATTAATTTCACGCCAGAATCCAATTTTCCGTATAATTAATGCTCCCTCCGCGAAAATGTGACAATTCCGCGAACGTATGCCGATTATATTAATAGGTTCATACGTTCCTTCATTTAAAAATCGTGCGCAGCGAAAGTGTGATAACAAAAAGTGGATACCTCGAAAAAAATAACGCGACCGCTTACGAAACCGAAATACCAGTGCCCGCGAGTATTACAAAGTTACCGTATTACATCATTTTCTTTTAGGCTACACTTTCCGGCGAGTTAATTACACCAATCGATCTTCGTACTAGTTGTGTGGGTACGCGGAGCAGGAGCTCGCAGCTGCCGATTTACACGACAGCCTATCCTTCGGGGGAGAGACTGGCGGAGTTAACTTACGTTCGCCTATTACATGTCGTTCACGAGCCCTTACGTGCAGCATTCATGCCGGGGCGGCAATATTCTAGTCTCGACGCGGCCCGCGCCGTAATGAGTCGGTAGCGAAACTACGTGATCGGTCCTCGTGGCGCGTTGCCGATATTGCCGCTGCTGCAGCTGCTGCTCCCATTCCTGCCGGAGGGGGTGGTATTGTTGTCGGCCTGGATGTCGATCTGAGAACACACGTTTCTCTATTATCGAGTCTCGTCGACGTGTGCAATATACGCGCGTAACCAGAAATATTATTTTCGAAGCCGAAGAAATGGCCCCTTTCATCATCGCGATAAATATTTTTAACGTTTCTTTATCTTTAGAGAATTGGGGAGAGAGGGTTCTATTTTTCAAATCTTACCTACAGCTTTTTCTTAAGTAGGATTTCTTGTAATTCACTATTTCATTGTACTTCTTATCTCAGAAATATGACTCACTGTCAGCGTTACCGTAAATAACTTTTCCATTCTGTAAAAAGTTAGATTATCGTCTAACTATACAAGAAGAGTACAAGATAAAGAAAACTGGTAAGACACTTTAATTTCTTCCAGACAAAATTTCGAATGAATTTAACATTTGACGTTCCTAATCCATACTTAAATAACCGTATGAATATAATTTGGTCCCTTTTACAGCTTAATCCTTAAATGCTACGCTAGGGGAACAATTATATACTAGATATATCAACCCAATTCGATTACTTATAATTTCCATATAAAAATGAATATATTATAAAAGAGCTTTCTTTCAATCGAAATGCCAGACATTACTGAGAACGGTAATAATGGTATCAAAAGTAAATGTGCGTATTTTTACTAATAAAAAAAAGTAATTGAAAAAAGTACTGAAAAAGCATTGGAGAAAGAAAACCGTACGTCGTATCGAAAAGACGTTTAAGGATTAATTATATAACTTTCGCGAGATGAGACAAAGGACTTCCACGTAATAAAGATCTTTTAAGTCATCGTAATCATGAATTTTCAAGGTGCATCGAAAGCTTCGATTACAATAGCTGCAATTAATTATACTGAATTGCCTTAACTGACGTTATCTCTTGAGAGGTAAAAAAAGGACTTCAGATAAGTCGATGTCATAAGCTGAGCTTACGTCGAAATGCAGATGCAATGGAGTCGTTACGAAAAAGCGAATGGGAAAAGTGGAGAGGGGGCGAAGGAGAGTAAAAGTGGCAGACAAAAACTTCCCAAGCACCGGGTATACAGTCGTTAATCATATGAAGTCAATCTACGTCAGATTACCAAGATTGATTAGATACACTGAAAGCCTGATGCATCAAAGGGTTCGGAAGGGGATTAAAGTATGTTACGTCGATGTTCCATGTTACTTCGGCGCTTTTGACAACGTTGTAACGCGGTGGCTCCCAATATCAGATTCTATGAATAAAACAGAGCTTCGTGTTGGCGCGCAACAACTTTCTCCAAATAGGAATTCGATAAGCAAATTTAAAGATAGAATTATAGAAATTGTGTGATGAATTAACGTACTTCTAATTACATTTTCTCATTGCTATTACTGTTATTACTGTTATTATTGTAATTACGAAAGCAGCAGAAGACATACAGAAGTCAAAGACAATCCCGCTTCGCTTTGATAAGTGGTCGTCGTCAGCTTGGAAACCGCTTTCAGCCCGCACATTGTCATTGTGTCCCGTTTTTCTCTTTATGTCTTATTAGCGAGCAGTGGCGCTAACACGCCTAAGAGACCGCAAACCATAGCGTATGTAAATCATGCTGGCAACACCAGGCTGAGAGAGAGAGAGAGAGAGAGGGGTGGGGAGAGAGAGAGAGAGAGAGAGGGAGAGAGAGAGAGAGAAGAAGGAGACGTCTATTCGAGCTGTTCATTAACTACTTCGTAGTGCGCCAACAGCACTTAGCCGTCGGTCTATTGTTACGATGCGGATGTTAGCCCTCGTTGTAAGTTCCACCATGTGAATGACCACCGAATGTAGCATATATTTATTAGTGCTGCAGTTGCGTAACAGTGTTACGTGCAGTAATATATTATTATATTGTTTCTTTTTTTAAAAGAAAATAAAAATGTGTAGGAATAGAAATTGTCGCGATCATGAAATCATATTTAGTAAGCCAAAATAAAAATTGTTGTGATCACGAATGTATTAATTCTGTGTCGGTTTCTAATTTTATTATGTTATATTCGTTTTAAAAGAAAATTGAAGGTGTAAAATGTCTGTTTACTATCATAAAATTATAATAATAAATACGATATATATTAATGTTGCATTTGCATAATAGTTTACAGTAACATATTATTATATTACTGTTATATTATTATATATTCTTCCTTTTAAAAGAAAATAAAAATATGTGAGGATATCAGTTGTTGTCGCAAAATTATAAATTGTATTTAATGAGTGAAAAATTGTGATCGCGAATGTTAATTAATTTTTTGTCGATTTTCAATTTTATTATTCGTCAATTTTATTATATTATCCTTTATAAAAGAAAATTAAAAATGTAGCATATGAAGTTAACCATCAAGTTAACTTCATAACCGAAATTATAAATCGTATTTATAGTAAATACTTATTTAGCAAAAATATCATAAATCAGTTGTCGCGAATGCATTAATTCTTTGCCGGTTTACAATTTTTGCCAGATTTTTAGCAAGGAGTCGCGGCCGCGAAATCGTGCTATTTCGAATCGTATTTTAACGTTTGTTATTACGCATGCAATTTGGCGATAATAATAACGCCAGCAGAAATATAAACGTCGATCGCGATTTTATCTGCTTGCCAATTATTTCGCGCAGCGCTTTGTTTTAACTCCCACCGTTTCGATTTAAATGAGTTTACATTTGAAAATTCGTTACGCCTGGCTTAGCGTGCAACGAGCCGTAACTGCGAATCGTTTTGTAACAAAGACTAATTACATTAAAACATGCTGTAAATATTAACGTTTGCATCAACAAGATATGTATTTTCACGCAACGATTTCCGTACTGGAATACGACAGTTTGTACAACAGCTCGGGATTTCTTTCGATTCTATCCAGCACAGTTTGCAACTCCTGTATCTCCTCGGGTGACAGCGACGTTCTCTGCTCCGACAGGATGGATACGGCGTCGGAGAGGCTCAGGGACGCCAGAGCGACGCCGTCTTTATCGCCCTGATCCCGGAGGCCCTGTTTCAGCATCTTAATGTATCTCTTCAGGGCGGAATTCATCGCGAGTCCTATTTTCGAATCGTGCCGCGGAAGTTGCAATTCCTCATCGGCACCGCGACGACGACCCGCGTTATCATCCTTCGCGAGGGATGACGCCTCCGCGGACGGAGATTCATCGTATCTCATTTCGTCGACCGTGCCGTTTGATCGAGTATTCAATTTCATGCCGTTTAATCCGCTTTTCGTCTCGGAATTTGCATCCCGCAGTGCCGGATGCGCCGCCACGGCGGCGGATCCGTGGAGGTTTTCGGAAAGGCCGTTCACGTTCGCGGATCTCGCTCGCGGATTTCGCATAATTTTCGGCATTCTCGATCGCGCGATGTCGTTGGCGCTGTTAGATTTTACGCCGTTTCCCATCCTCGCGCTTCTACCTCGTGGAATATCGTCGCTTCCCGGAGCCGCCGTTCCCGTATTCTCCCGCGAATCGATCCGGGACGTAAGCCCCGCGAATTTCCCGCTGTCGGGGATCGCGGATTTATCGTCGGTATCGTCGGCCGGGTTTAACACTTCGGCGGATAATTCAATCTGCGGGCTTAGCGACACGCCTTTCGAGGGATTCTCCGCGCTTCTTAACCGTCGCCTACCTCCACCGTGATTTAATTTCAACCGGTTCTCCACCGGTCTATCCACCGCGGACGGCGACTCGGGGTCGAGTCTTAGCGCATTATTCCCGGATACCGGCCTTTCTCTCGCAGCGTCGGTGCCGGATCGGCTCGTTATTAATTCTGGCTCCTTTGTCCCCCAAGTTTCGCTTTCAGTTACAGGTGCATTAGCGAAGAAAGCGGCCGGGGTGGACGAGCGCTTCCCCGGGCGACCCGGCGTCCGTGTTGCAGACGACAAAAACGACAAAGCGGCATTGTCAGCCATTGTCGAGATCGCCGTTCTGCCGGCGGACATTTTTTCCCCGGGGGGCGAATCGGTAATCTTCAAAGTTCGTTCCTCTTCATTATCTTTCACCATGACGCCTCCGACATCCTTTGATTTACTCCGCTGCTGCCCACACGGCCGCGTCGTGAAATTCTCTCCGCGTTGCTGTCGCTGTTGTTCGCTCGTCATCCCGATCAATTCTTTTCCCGCCGACGCAACGAAACTCGCCGCTTTTGGACTGGACAACGCCGGATTACGGCTCGTCGAGCCATTCCTTGCCGAGGATTCCCTCGAACGAAACTGCCCTCGAGACGAAACTGTCAATTTCTCCCCCGGCAGACCACTTCCGCGCTGCGGTCGTCTCGCAACCCTCGCGGCGGAAATCTCCTCCGTAATATTTCCTCCGTATTTCCTGTTGAAGGAGGTCCTTCGGTTCCCCGTCATCCAAGGGGGACGCGACGACGCGCGGTTCCTAGGACTGAACGATGACTCGCGCGAACGACACGACAACATTTCGTCCTCCCGACGTTTGCTGGATTCGCTGCGGATGCTGGCAATCTCGCTGGCGGAGCTCACCGAAATAAAATTTAACCTCCCGCCCGCCTCCCTTTCCGCGCGACGTTTACCCGACAATGGGAGGGCGGCGAGTGGGTAATCTTCCAATTTTTTCTTGGATTCGCGCGAACGACTCGGTCTCGGAGGTGATCCCGTAGCTTCCCAGCGTCTTTCCAGCGATGTAGCGGCGCGTGATAACGTGAAGATCTCGCAGGTATTTCCAGCGCTCGCTGGTCGATCGCTGTTTCTCTTCGTCGACGATTCCTTTCTCCTTCCAGGACCGGCGAATCGCGAACAATCATCCTCCGCGTCATGTCCGAGTGTCGCTTTATCGTCACATTTACGTGATCGCGCCGGAATCGACCTTCTCAAAATCGGCACTTCCGATCTTGAATCCTGATTGCTCGTCGCGATCGCAGGAACGTCATTCAGTGGCGATCGAACGCAGGGATTCCCATTATCGTCCACGACGCTGGGTAGTTTTTGAGAATTGCCGTCGACGTTTTCCGACGAAAGATGATTTCTGCTGTTTTCGCGATCGATACCGTCGTCAGAAATCGTTGCCGTTTCCTTCTCGCTGGTCCGCGGTCTTCTCGTGCCTTTCGACAAGAAATGATCCAGCGGATGAAGACGTTCGGCGTTCCTCCGACTCGTTGCATCGCGACCGATGTCGTAGTACTCCTCCACAAAGTCGAAAAGACTATGATCGTATCGGTCGTTCAATCGTACGCCGATCACCGAGTCGGCCGAATTCAGATGCAGCGAGTTCAAGACGACGTCGCCCGGCGGCTGGAAATCGTCGTACTGCTTCCTCAGGGTTGCTTCGATCAATTTGTAACGGTAGGCTTTGTAATCGAGGTTCGATATGTCGATTAGCGGATGTTGCGAGTCCACGAGGGACGAAGGACGATCCGAGGATGGGCATATTCGTATTTTTGATCCGCTCTCGCCGATCTTCCGATCGACACGACGAATCCCACGTCGACTGGAATTCTTCGAGATACCGCTGTTGCCTCGCAGAGTCGGCGTGGAATTGATCCTGCGAGCGGATTCCGGATGCAGGCTGGAACTCGACGTGGAGTCGGCCAATTTGATTGGAGCCGGATAATGTATCAGTAACGAACGATTGGCACGGTCGTAGCGGCGACGATGCCTGCTGGTCTTCGTGAGGGTTGTCCTCAGCGGCTTGTCCTGCACGTAACGCAATATTCAATTTCACTGAGAAAATAAGTAAGAAGCCACCGTAGCAATCCGTTGTACTACGACGTTGAATTTCCCCTTTAAAAGCCGGGAGAGGAAATTTTTCGACAAAACTACTTTAATCTCGTTCCGAATCTTTTTTCGCAATTATATTCGCTTCTTATAAGGGTGGGGGGGTGGGGAGGAGGGGGGGGGAGGGATCCTTCCCTCCCTATAGAGGGAAAAATATTCTCACTTCTATTCTGACTTCATAATGCAGTGGCTCGGTTGTAGTTGTACATTATCGCCTTCAATGGATTCGATATAACGGTATCGCGCGCGGTTTGCATTGTGTTATAAACGCGAATGTTATATCACGGTTACGCCGAAAGAAATTGGAAAATTTACAGTCCAGCGCGGTGCTTCCGCTCGAACACCGCGGAAGCGTTATCGATGCGCGGCCGCGCTTTTAAAGCTGCGGTTCCCGAACGCGAATTTTCCGAGATAGCGCCGTCGACGAGGGCGCCGTTACGTCGCGTATGAAATAAAAGCCGAAGCGCCGTCCCTTGGCTCCTTGTTTATCGAAGGAAATGCGCCGGACGAATAAAATAAAAAGAAAGGAGGGGAAAAAAAAAAAAAGAAAAGAAACGAATAAAAACGTTACACTACCGTTCGTTTCTATTTCAAGCCGCGCAAATCCCGATAAGAGGCAACTCGCGTAACGTTTTCACGCCCGACTATCCTATATACCGAGGGGTAAGCGGGGTGGGACAATTTATCAGGGCACGTACAAGGAGGAGGTAAACGCGCACGATCAACGGCGCCGCTAACAAGATCGTCAGGGCTAAAGCGAAGGCGCTCTCAGCCAGAAAGGGTGGTGTCGATCGTAAGGTTAAGACGAGTTTTCCCGGCACCAACACGTCGAACATCCCGATCGCTTGTTTCCCGGAGCCCCCCCCCTCCCGTCGTAATTGCAAATCACCCCTCGTCGTTTCTTTCGCACGTTTCACTTTAGACCGCCGATCGCAGGGCTGCGGATTCTCTCGACCGGTCGATGCCGCCTTCGAGAAGTTGACTGCCATCAACGGTGTCTTCTATAATGGAGTACTATCGTCGATAGTCGATATCTCCGGTCTCGAAAAGCTTCGTTCTCTTCTCCTTCTTCTTTTTTTTTTTCCCCCTTTTTCCACCTCTCGATTTCTTTCTCCCTCCTCGCAGCCTCATCCGCCTCATTCGGGTCGGCTTCATTTCAAATTAGCTCAATTATTAATTTGCGGTTACATGCTGCGGTTTACGCTTCGATCACTCATTTCATTGTTTATATGCATCGTCTCACACGCTTTGCTTTATTTATACGTGTAAATAATGATGTTTATTTTATAATCCATCGCGCGTATATTTCTTTTTTTTTCTTCTAAAGTAATCTAAAATAATCTGTTTCTGGTTCATTTAAGTCAATACTAAAAGTGTCAAATTTTAAGATAGATTTCCATTCGTACATAATTTCATACGTCATGCATTTTCGTATAGATAAATATGTACATTAGTTTATTTTACACGGAATTATTAACGGAACAGAAATTCTATAGCTGAAATCTCTGACGAGAATTATGGATCACAAATTGGATTTTCGAGATATCGTTTTAGCATCAGGATATTTAAATTATTTAGAAAGTTAATATTTGATCGCGTCAATAATTAATCCCGATGAAACATGCACTCTCTGGGTCGTAACACGTACAAGCACTTACAATTGTCGGTATTATACGTCCTGGCATTGTCTGGACGACTCGGAGTCTGCCGGGTAGGCGGAAGTTCGCGATAAGGGGCCTCAGTGTCCGGGTAACCGTTCTGTCGATGCTCCGAATGCCGCTGATAAGCTCCCGAGAAGATTCTGGTGTATCTTAAGTAACAACCGCTCGGTATTTGCCACTGCAAGTCGAGTTAAGATACTCTTCTTGGAATCTCATTGACCTCGCGTGTAATCGCGTGAGCACTCTTGTGTCTACTCACCTCGTATGAGGAGCTGGGCACGGACTGGGGCGATCTGCCAGGGCACATCAGCATCCTTCTTCTGTAGAATCTCGGCTAAACGAGGAGATAAGTGCACTATGAGACCTTCTACCTTCCCGCATGAATTTCTCTCTCTCTCTCTCTCTCTCTCTCGCGCGCGCTTTAATCTACGACGATATCCTCGAAAAAGGGTCCTTTCTAAGAGACGCGCTCGTGGTAGAACCATTTCTATTGAAACTGACTATAAAGGATACCGGTGCTTCGATATTTTTGTCGGGTCGAAAAGCCATTACAACTAAAACCGTTTACTAAAATTGAAGCAGTAAGATGTCTCGCGTATAGATTTATGTAATCCAGAAAAGGTAGATCGGGTATAATGTCCGTTTCTATCATTGTATTGTAGATTAACTTTAATCTCGGTTTAACTTTGATCTTTCTTTTCTAGTTCGAAGAATTAGAAAGAGATAAAGAGTAAACTAGATTGTGATCGAAGTTGACTCTTTACAGGCACGCTCAGTCTTTTTTTTGGCCGAGGCGACATTTCAATCTTAAATATTTTGGCACGAAATTCAATTTTTTAAATAAAGTTTTCTCAATATATATTTGAGTTGAACCGATTAAAAACCTATTTAGCGATGTAGCGAAAAAATGTTGAAAGGTAATCCTGAATTTTTCTGGAATTTTTAAAAATCTAGAACACACAGTAAAAAATTTAGACTGGAGAAAAAAGGCTCCAGAGTGCTTACGGAATAAGTAAAAATATGTGTTCTTACGAGGGATTAACCTACATTGATAGAAATTGGTTGAAAAAAATGATCTGCCAGAATTAATGCGCGAAATATCTGCAAAGATAATTTATTCATCACTCACCTCGGAATCGAGAACATCCGTGGATTCTGCAAGTATACGAAACAACAAGTGTTGGCTCAATTGTGTTCTCCATCGATAATTACATTTATATATTTGTGATAGAAAAATGTGTGACGCTACAATATTCCACCCTGGGAAGGGAATTAGCGATGTCGCGTCGCGACGCTGTCTGCGTCGCGACGCCATTCGTGTCTACGCATCGCGAAGCCCTTCTCGGGCTACTCCCGCGGGGCACAATGGCATAAATTTACCTCTCACGTGTATCGAGAAATGGCATTCGGCTCGATTTCCGGCTGCATCCGAGGCGACGTAGCGCACATCGTGAATGCCGGGATACATCACGTGTCCAGGTCCCTGTGCGAGACATACGATAATTAACTTTTCGCGCAATTGCATGGAAATTTCCTCTGAGGAAAATATCCGTTTTGTATGTGCAAAGCATTGCCGGTGTGCCGGCGACTAATCTTGTCACGTATGCGACGCATCGTATTCGTCCAAAATCGGACACGAGATTGATGTGAAACGCGATCGATCATTTTCCTTCCGTTTTTCATCCTTCTTCAAATCACCCGATTAAAGACGATCGTAGCACGACGTATTCTCCCCGTCACTTCGCACGATTCTTGTTTCAATTTGCCTAATCAGATTAACCGTCAGGTTACATAATGTCCAAGGCCATTTATAACCAACGCTATCGAGAGTGCAAGCCACCAATTATCCACGGACTGGTTAACACGAGGATAGGATAATCTCTGTTATTACGTTAATAAAGTACACGCACGCTTTCCGCGCCGAGACGCCAAAAGGATACAATAAAAACAGGACGGAAGCGTCGGCCGGCAATGATTAATCATCCAGCTGGTTTTTCCTACGGTACCGTTCGCGAGGAAAATCGTAGATACTATCCTCCGTCGCATTGCAGCAGTTTCTTCGTTGGCTCTCATTTTCTCGAAACACGAACGGATAATTAATGGACGATATCCTCGCTCGATTAATATGCCCGATTGTCAACGGCAAAAGGGGGTTAATTAACTTCAAGGTGAGCCAACGGATGACTGAGAAGTCTTCCGACCGATCGATACCGGAGACATAAATTTGCGAACAGAGTTTAAGGAAAACTGAGAAAAATTTCGTAGATATAAGGAAAGATCGTGACACGAAACGTTGTATCCGAACAGCGAATGCTGATACGGGGTTGCTTCTTGACGAGTACGTACCCTCGTTTTATAAACGTGTCTCACGCCAATGTTATCGGTGAAGGTCGGTTCTTGCCAGAATATCAGACGATTTCGTTCCCCCGGGCTCAGTCTGACCTCGAAAGACACGGGACACATAGTAACCTTCGGGTTTTCGGTATCTGAAAATACATATCGTGGCATATCCTAAGAATGACCGAATTCTCTCGTAAAATCGCTGTTGTACAAAACTCATTTAAAGTCTCGTGCTTTTTACCGCAATACTATTTGCGCAACCTATTATTATTAGCAATATTTTTGTTTTTCTCTATCTCTTTAGATTTTAATATTCGTTAACCTTCCGCCTGTGATCTGCATTTTTTGGCACGAACGAAATCTTTCTCTTAAACTTCTTCAAAATAAAGGAGAGCGGAATCTGCCGTATCCTAAAATATTTTGTTAGTAGTGAGGTCTTAAAAGCCTAAATTTTTTCACATTTTTTTAAAAACCTAGAACAACAAAAAAAAACTTGGACAGGACAATAAAGGTTCAGATTATAGACGGAGGGAGTAAAAATATGATTGCAGAGGTTTAAGATTCTTCTATGAATAACAGGTAACTAGAACATTTAAATTTGTATCACATGGAAAGGACAGTTTTACTCAATTATCTAAAAGTTAGTTTGATACAGATCTGAAAATAACTTTGTTCAACCAGCAAAATACGTAGTTACGTACGACGTAAAAAATTTCAGCGTTCACGCTAATTATTCTGATGCAATCAAAAATTATTTTTAGATCCGTCTAGCTAAGTTTTTAGCATATACTTCAGCAAAAAAAAACTATTCTTCCCGTGCATCTTGATTACGGGATTGTAAACCCATTTGTTATCGTACTACGATGTGTATTAAATATATATTCAAGATTTCACGTGATCCGGTGCGTTCTCGTAACAAGAGCCTCTTTTCAATGGAACTCCCAACAATCTTGAATAGTCTCACATAGAAATGTAGAGCGAATAGAAATCGAGATAAAGCGGAATATAATAGACGAAACTTGGCGAAGCTAAGCAGTTTTTGAGACTGCAAAGATCCACGAAGGAGCACCAACTCGCGATTCTCGCGAGTACGTCCGATCGACGCGAGCTTATTCGACGTAATCGCGTATCGACCACGATGCACTGGCACTCCTTCCAGCCGTTGCGTTGCGGAGAGAACTTGCTTAAAGCGAGTTTCACGAACTTTCAGAATGAGTAATTAAGCGGGACGGGACGCGGAGTGCACTTCGCCGCGGAAACTAAAGTTTACCCTCGTCGCGTCGGGACGATTCGAGTGTCGAGCCGATTCCCATCCCGATCGATTGTCCCCTGTGCGAAAAGTTTCCTCGGGAAAAGTGGACAAATCGAAAATAAAAGGGAACAGAGTGGTAGGTGGAAACTTCACGGGATTTTGATCCAAGATTGATAATCTATGAAATCAGAAATTCCGCATCGGAGCTGTCAAGTTTTCTGGTCCCATTTTATTCTTATCCGCTCAATTGAACTCCCAGGAGGGCACAGTTGGGAGTTAAAAGGAGAAAGGTGTCACTCTCCGCGTTAAAATATGTCAAGTTAAATCCTTTCTCATTATATCTTTTCGTCGCTGACGTTGAATTTCAACTATAGATTTTATTAGCGTTCATCGGTACGCTTGTTAATAATTTCTGATCCTTATTATAATATAATAACGTCCTTATCAAAATTTAATACAAGAAGGTAGTGATTAATTACTTGCTTTGAGTATTAAAAGCATTGAGCAGCAGTGCTTTTAATATTCAAAATAAGTAATTATATTCAAAGTAACTATAATTAATCATCATCTTTCAGTATTAAATTGGCCATATTAAACCGAATTCCTATGAGGGAGCGGAATGGATATAGTTAGCGTAAGAAAAATGTGGATATAATTTATTATTATTTGCTTCAATGATACGTTTACTTATACTGTTTATAATAGCGGTTCTTATCACCGCGATGATACTTAGCGCAAGAAAAAGGAGCTCGCAGGGAGGAGATCCATTTTCCTTTCCACTTCCCAAAGCGAATTTCTTTTTGTTCCTGATTTCTCTCTTATGCGCTGGACTTACCGCGAACTCTTATCACGATCCTACAGGTGCTGGTGTAATTAGAGACCGGCGACCATGCCGTGAAGGTAACGACCGTCGTGCCCGCCGGCAGATTCCCTTGCAATTGCTTTGCCCATGAAGGTGAAGCATGTACGTATCTGAAAAACATAAAAGGGGAAAAAAAAAACAAAAAGAAGGGAACAAAGGCCAGCGAGATAGACATGCAACCGAGTTTATTCGATGATTATTCAAACAACTGTAAACTATTTCGTTTTACATTAACAAATAATAGATTAGGAAATAGAGAAACTTTGGATACTTTTTTATTTTACCTACATAGAAATTTCTCAAAATCGTATTAACCAAAATATCGAAAATTTGACACAAATAAATATTTGTCAATTAATATCGCTCTGCTACTCCACTAATTGGCAGATCCATTTTCATTCTATGAATGGAACTCTCTGTCCAGAACCGAAATAGAAATAATTCGCGTCACTCTGTCTGACAAATCTAAAAATAGAATTGCGTAACAATATTTGAGCAAGGTAAGTCAACTAGCATAAATAAACAAAGCTTGACAGCTTTACATGTTTGATCAGAGCGGATTTTAATCCCTAATAATAAGTTTTACGGGAATCCTTATACCTTCCAATTCGTTTAAACTGCGCGCCGATTATTTGCAACCTTGAAATATAGTCTTAAATTGAAGCTGGAGTACGTATTATTACAAATTAAATTGACAAACAATTTATTAATACCGATACTAATGAGCATCTTAAAACATTAAGTAAAGAATTTATCGCGGAAAATATTATTAAAATAAATCCATATATTTACACATTTTTGATGGAAAATAGATTCGAGTAAGATTATATACATTAAATTAACAAGTAATTTAATAATACTGATCGATGCTAACAAGCATCTTAAAAGACTTTAAAGGATTTATTGCGGAAAATATCATCAAGGTAAGTCTATATATTTACTGTTTTTCATGGGAAATAAATTCAAGAGTACTATAAATTAAATTGATAAGCAATTTAATAGTACTGATCGATGCTAATGACCATTTCGAAACACTGTAAAGAATTTATTGCGAAAAAATATTATTAAGATTATTAAATGTATGTATTTTACACACATTTTTTGGATGGAAAATAAATTCGGGTCGGATCAATTTTGGTAGCCCCGAAATCGAAGATCTCTGCTCTATAATGCGCTTCTTACCTCCACCAATCCATGTTGGACTTTGGTTGCGGGAAAGTTACACGTATCGTGTTTTGCCTAGCCGGTAATTCGACGTCCATGTCCTGGGGGCAGCTCACGAACGGTTGTGGCGTGTCTACAGAGATAAAGTCGATAGTTAAACTCTTGATACCGATCGCCCAATTTCCCATACTATAACACGATAAGAAACTTCGATGGCGAGCAATTCCCATATCATTGGCCGATAGTGTTCAAGAAACGTTATTTTACTCCAGGAAGTATCACGCCGTGCGTGAAAAGGTTTATCACGCTTTTATCGGTTTTACACGAAAGATGTAATAATAATGCAACCGTTAGATGTACAGAGAGTAAAAACATTAATTTCAATGATACACAATCGACTTTCTTTTTGTAACTGAAAAATCCATAATTTATTTAATCTATCGTTAAATTGAACGCGAGGATTCTCGAGGTTATCCTCGGTATATCCCGTTCTATAGAATCTAAAACCGTCCTTTATTTATAAAGCAGCCATAAACGCGCGTAATATCGTTTGATGCGAGATAGGAAACCACTTAAAGAGCGCCGCTCCGGAAAAGCGTCTCTTTCAAAATGGGAGCCGATTTGAATATCTTGTGCCAAGATATGGATTTCCGAACGATAGCGGCTGTAAACAAGCAAAAACCGGAGCGGCATGAAACGGACATAGAATCAAAATCTCCTTTCCATTTAAACGAAACAATTAACGTCACGGAGGAAAGAACCGCGAAAATGTGCGCGGGAATGAAAAAGCTGGCAAAATGGATAAAACGAACGAGAGGAGAGGAGCTGAAACGTAAAAACCCGCCGGTCCGAGTAAGCTCGTTAAGAGGCGGCGTTAACGTATGATCTCGTTAGCAGGCAGCCTCTACACAGGAACTTTGTATTATTAAAAGCTGCTCCGAGCGGCATGACTAATCTAGCGCGTCCAAGAATTTTCGTCGTTAAATTATTTGCTCGGTTCGGGCAATATTTTACGTTCGATCGCGCATGACCGAACGGTTCTCTTTATGTAAATTGAAAAGAATAACGTCTTGAAAATCGAAGGGAAATTTAATGAGAGCTCCAGACGTCTCCCCCGCTTGGCGTAACGTCATAGACGTAATATAAAGTATAGACTGTGCATTCCCTGATCTTTGTACTTCAACTTTCGTTAAAAAGAAAAAACGCAATATTGTATCGCATCGGCATCTCTCTTCAACTTGCTCTGAGAAAAAGAGCAGTACCTGCGGTACAAATCAAGCTACTGTACATATTTTGTTCCTGAATTTATAGTGACAACTTCATAGGAATGCACAATTTATATTTATTTATAATATACTGGAAAAACACGCCTTTCCTGTATTAAGCTACTGCAGAAAACTGCAGACCGAGAAAAGGAGAACAAGGAAATACTTTTCTAATCCTTTCCTACTTACAGTAGTAAAATTAGAG